GGCCCTTTGCTGGGTGTGTCGCTCCTGTGAGCAGAGCCCTAGCTCTGGGGGCTCAGCAGGAATCACAGCTCAGTTCGAGGAAGTTCCCGCTCATCTCAGTCACTACCTGATCTTCAGGACATGGAACAAGTTTGAGGAAGCTTAAGAAAACCTGAAAGGATTCCATCAGGTCCAGGGAGAGCACACCAGGGCATGGGCCAGGGCTCCCTGAAGGGCTCCCAAATATGTCCTCCCATGGCCTTTGTGCCAGGCCTGGGCACAAGCCAGGCTTTCGTGCGCTTGCCCTGTATTTCTCAAGCCCTCGCAGGCATCTTCAGGACATGGAACAAGTTTGAGGAAGCTTAAGAAAACCTGAAAGGATTCCATCAGGTCCAGGGAGAGCACACCAGGGCATGGGCCAGGGCTCCCTGAAGGGCTCCCAAATATGTCCTCCCATGGCCTTTGTGCCAGGCCTGGGCACAAGCCAGGCTTTCGTGCGCTTGCCCTGTATTTCTCAAGCCCTCGCAGGCCCGGGCCTCTCAGAACCAGAACACCCTCCATGGCTGTGAGAAGACAGCACACTGTGCTCCTCTGCCTCACTTCAGAGTGAGGCTCCATGGCTGCACTGGCCAGCAAGGGAAGGGGAGGATGGCCTGAGGGGCAGCTCTGCCTCTGCTTAGAGCCCACAGCAGTGACATGGGTGAGGCCTGCCCAGTCACAGGTCAGGCCAACCCCAGGCACCAGCGGCCATGCCCACCTGGCCTGCAAGCCCAGGGGTGTCTTGGTTGGGGCACTGTCCCCCATGTCCCTCACTGAGTTTTCCTTTAGGAATTGACTCATCTCCAACTTGTCTGGTCAGGTTTTTATTTATTTTTATCTCAATAATCTGATTTCAAAGAGCAGACCCCAGAGTGTGCGGGGGACAGAAGTCTGAGGTGGGTTTGAGGCCCAAAGGAGGAGCACAGTGCCCAGGACACTGGCAGTCAGGACTGTTCTGGGGAGTGGAGGTTCTCAGAGCCCAACCCTGGCGATGTCAAGGTGCCGCAGGCAGGACACAGCTCTCCTCAGGTAGGAGTCAGGACCTCAGTGCGACCCCACTGAGAGCTGCTTGAGGGTGACATGAGTGCGGCAGGTGCAGATGAGTGGCCCTCAGAGCAGTGGTGACACCCAGCAGGTGAGCCCTTCAGACACCACGGCACTTGGTGAGGGTGTCGGACAGCTTTGGGGGCCAGCCGGCTGCTCCCAGGCACTCAGGCCTCCTCGGGGGCCCCGGGCAGCTGCCGGATCTGCCGGCTGTGGACCACCTGCAGTGCGCTGCCAGCGGCTTGGCGGAGCTGGGCATCCAGGGCACTGCGCAGGTCATTGGCCGGGATGTCTGGGAGGGGGTTAAAGCTGATGATGACCCCGTCCTTTGGGGCCAGCTCCCCCTCTGCAGGAGGGGCGAGATCCCGCCGCCGCCGCCGAAGGTCAGAACCAGCTTGCAGTTTCAGGTCTCGGTTGGGCTTGGCGTCGTCCGGCCTCTGAGCCTCAGGGACAGTGAGTCTGGGCCCAGGCTCAGGGCCTGACCTCTGCCTGGGCTCCTGGCCAGCAGCATCCTGCCCAGCTCTCGGCTGCTGGTAAGGGGTGGGTGCGTGGTTCCCTCCAGGGGACTCCTGACCCCCATCAGAGATGGCCCGGGGCTCAGGCTGACCCAGTCCAGCCTGGGGCTGTGGAGCCATGATTGCCAGCCGGCCTGACAGGCCCATGGCAGGTCCTGAGTCTGCCTGCCTGGCTCTCACGAGGGTGTCCCCAGCCTCCATGCCTGCCCCTCCCACATGCCTGGCAGCCTCGTTCAGAGCACCAGCTCCAGGGGCCACTGCCGCTTTCTTTCCAGTTTGCTTCCTTTCCTGGGAAGCTCTGCCAAAAACCTCCTGGCTCTCCCTGGGATCCTCTTCAGCAAGGTGCTTCTTGGGGCTCCCAGGGGCCCCTGTGGGGTCAGGCTTGGGCACTGGCTTCATAGCCCTGGCTACCTCAGGCACAGCGCCCTTCCGGTCTTTGCTCGGCTTGGCCTGGGCTGCCCGGGGCTCTGTGTCAGAGATGCCAGCAGGAGGAGTGGCCGGGTCTCTTTCCACAGGCTGCCTGGGCTCCTCTGGGGAGTGCTGGCCCAGCTCTTGGGGCAGAGCGGGCTGGTCCCCGGGAGCTCTGGGCACAGGCCCCACAGGCTGCAGAAGGGCATTCTCCACCATCTCCCCAGCAGGCCCATCTTGAGTCTCCTTCTCCTGAGCTCTGGGCACAGCCACCCCGGGCTCTGGCTGGATGTCCCCTGCAAACGACATTGATTCTCACAGAAATGAGCACAAGCTGCTAATGCATGGACTGAACAAACATGCAAGCAGTTTAGAATAAAGAATCAAATCCTGAACTTGCCCAGTAGGACTTGAGGGCACTGAGGCTCAGATCCAGCCCCCAGGGAACCTGGAGACACCCTCAATGGACACAGCTCAATCGCCTCCATAGGCAGGGCCCACTGCCAGTACCAGCTCTGCCTCGTCCTGCCCTGCCCACGTTCCCACCTACCTTGCCTGGCCTTGTCCTCCTCATCCTCCTGCCGCTGCTGGTGGATCTCCTTGTGCTGCTCCTCAATGACAGCTAACAGCTTCTCCTGCTGGTCCAGCAGCCGCTTCTGCTGCACCTGCTGCTCTTTGATCACCTGCAGCAGGACAGCGTGGTCCAGCATCTCAGCCCGGCCAGCTTCTGCTAGGGACACAGTCAGGGCACTTGGCTGCCTGCGCAGCACCCCAGCTGCACGCACACAGGAGGTGTTCGGCAGGGTCCCCATTGGGGCAGGTCTCCCACCCACCCACACCCACTCTGGGGGCCGCCCTGCCTGCTTCTGCTGTGCTGCTGTGCTCCCCACAGGTGGGCAGCCCAGCCTCTTTCGTGCTCGATGAACACACGTCCAGAGAGAGCAGTGGAGGGAATGCGCTAGCACACCGGTTACAGCTATCTGGGCTGGGTGATTTCCCTGTCTCACGAGCTCAGTTGTTCTATAACAAACACTGAGAAAACAAAACTAAAAGCTATTATTTGGGAAAAGAATATTCATACTTTTAAGAAAGTTTTCTCCAGGCCAGGCGTGGTGGCTCATGCCTATAATCCCAGCACTTGGGAGGCTGAGGCAGGAGGATCGCTGTGAGTTCGAGACCCGTCTGGACTACACAGTGAGTTCCAGATCAGTCTCAACTACATAGTGAGACACTGTCTCAACGTCCCCTGCCACCAAAAAAAGTTTTCTTCAGGCTGGGTATGGTGATGAATACCTATGATCTCAATTTACTCCGGAAGAGAGTGAGCGTGAGGACAACTGGGCAATAAAGAAGACAGGAAGGAAAAAAGGAAGGCAAACAGGGAAGGGAAGGGGAAAGGGGGAGGGGGGAGGGAAGGGGAAAGTTCGTCCAACTTGAGAATTTACAAAATAAAAATGACGTTCCTTTTCCTTTTTTTCCCCCTTGCAGTACTGTGTTTGTCCCCAGGCTACAGCTCAAACGCCAGGACACTAGTGAGGCCGTGGCCAGCTGCCAGCGAGTGGCTGCTGACCTGTGTCTCCCAACCACCCACCAGACACTGGTGAGTCCTGGTGGAAGGGGAGCCACACACGGGCACCGACCACGTGGAGAAGAGGAAGCCCTTTCCGGCTGTGCGCCTGCTGCACCTTCCCCAGACAGCACAGGGTGGGAGCGGCCTGGAGTCTCAGCCCAGGTGCCGGGGATGTGAGCTTTCACAGCCACAGCGTGTGCATTCTCACGGCCCTGTGTAGACTCACGAGTCTCTGAAGAGTGCTGGGCTAGGGCTGCCAGGGGTACGATTTCAAGTCGAAGACAAGCGTTTTGCAAGGAGTCGGAGAGGGTCCCGGCAAGGGCCCCGTGTAACAAGCACAGCCCACGGGTGGCCAGAGCAGCCCGGGATGGCATCTGCCCACGCCCCAGGCAGTGGACCACAGAGAGGGCACTGCGGCTGGCCGTGTGGAAGAAGGGCAGCTGTTCTCTGCTGATGCCCAAGGTTATCCAGAACCCTGGTCGTGACAGCTCCCACGAACTCCCTGGGTGCTGACCCCACAGGCTCAGGCCGGCCGCCTCAGCCATGCCCACTTCACCCCGTCTATCAGTGGTGCAGAGATGGCCCCCTCCCAGCCCCCAGGCACTAGACGAGTTCAGGGAAGACGGAGGAAAGGCACCATGTCTAGCTGGAAGCCACACAGGGTGGATGAGAAAGTGTGGGGCGACAGCCGGCCAGGCTGCTGGCAGGCACACAGGTGGGATGGATGAGAACAGGCCATGCGCACGGCAGCGCCTCCGACGCAGCGGAACCGTAAGCATCCCTGCTGACAGACACTGCCACTGCCCTTGAGGACAGCACAGCCACGGGGCTGAGGGGAACAGAGGCATCTGCAAAAGTAGGAGCCTGAACTGGCTACAGGGGCCCCGGGGCGGGCGGGCGTGCAGCGACTTCTCCTCGGCACACTCCCTTCGAGCCATACCTGCTACTATCTTTTTAATTTCAGCTGCTCATCCCGTTGAGAGGCATACGGAAGAAAGGCAGAATAGGAAACCGTGAAAAGTCTCTTTTTCAGAAAGAAAAAAAGTCAAAAAGAATCAAACAGGTTTAGGTAACAGAATATAGGAATTAGAACCAATTCATACAGTCAGACTACAACCAGAGGCAGATAAACTAAGTGAAGAAGTTTTCCAGGAAACTTGTGATCTCCAGAAACCTAATGTGTCCCTTAGGTTTGCCTTCCAGGGCTCTGGGGTTGGGGGCTCGGGCTCCAGGCTTCATGCCTGGGGACAGGGTCCTACGGCCACCCCTGGGGGCATCTTAAGGCCGTGGCAAGCATCCAGCAGGACAGGGTGCAGTACAAGGAGGGGGCATAAAAATCCTAAATGGGCAGAGGGATCTGGACGCAGGGCAAGGAGCAGCACGCGCTTCCAGTGGATAGGGGCCAGTGTGACTGTAGAGGGACAGCTGAGCTCCGGGCTCTGGCAGGGACCACATCAGCCATACTCCCCAGACAGGCACCAGGCAAGGCAAGGCCCCAGCCTGGAAATACAGTCTTCGCATCCATACCTGGCTGGCTTTAAATACCCTGAGAGTTGGAAATACTAACATTCCCACTTTAAGATGAAATAAAAATGCTAATTAAAAGCCATATGACAGAGCAACAGATTTTTTTTAAGGGGTTTGAGAAAGGGAGATAGAAAATGTTCCTAAAGGGCTGGGGATTTAGCCCAGTGGTTCTGTTGCCTGCCTCACAAGCATAAAGACCTGAGTTTGATCCCTAGTACCAAAAAAAAAAAAGAAAAGAAAATGTTCCTAAGGAGGTTCCAGGGAGAAAGTCACTGGTGGGAGGCAGAAGGGGGTCTCTGAAGATGCTTTAGAGTACGACAGGGGCAGGCAGGAGCAGAAGCTGGGAGTGGGCCCTCCCTCCCCACCTTACCCCAGCCAGGCTCACCCTCCAGCTTGCTGCCCGTCTGGTCTCCGCCTGGCCGCTCTGCTGCCCGCTCCGCATCTCGCTGCTCTCGAGGCTCCGGCTGCAGCCCGGCCCCGGCAGCCGGCTTCTGCGCCAGGAGGGGCACCTTCCCACCTGCACACAGGGGCACTCAGGTTTGGCAAAGAGGCGGGAGGGGTGTGGGACAAAGAAGGCAGCAGATGTTTCCTAAAATGACTCTCTGTCGCCGTTCCACCCTCCCCCATCAGCGCAGTTTATATTCAACCTGATGATTACTGGGAAGTAATAAAAAAATATTTAACAATCTCATAGGCTTGTGGCAGGGAGCCAATGTTAACTACCTTCTCCAATTAAAATGCAAGCCCCGTCCTAACCAGCTCTTAGACGGGCACTTAACAATGTGTTACCTGTCAAGCACTCCCGCACCGTCCCCCGTGTGAGCCCAGACACACGAGAACAGCGTGGCACCTGACATTTAGTGGTCTGGCAAACAACTGTGTGACAGATATTATAGTAGCTGTCAAGCCACCAGACTCTTCGTTTTCCCCACCAGCTGCCGAAGGGGCTGCTACATTCACATGCTAATCTTGTGAAATGGGAGAGAGATGGGACAGAAGTAAGAATAATCAATTCCTCCTGCCCTCAACACCCTGCCAGGGAGAAGGGTTTCCATCCATGTGCTCCAGGCTGACACCCACCAGGGTCGCTCTCCACGACGTCCCCTGTGTCCCCCGCAGTGTCACGCACAGCCTCCTGCCCTCCACCTGCTGCCCTGGCGTTATTCTCTGCTGGGAGGTGCAGGTCTCTGCTGCCTGGGCCAGGGTCCTCCTTCAGCTGGACAGCAGGCTGGCCATTTCCCTCTAGGATCTTCTGGGGGTCTTTAGGGAGACCCCCCACATCCCCTAAGGCCTGGACCTGCTCAGGGCTCTTCCCAGCCTCTGCCCTCTCCAGCTCCTCCTCGCTCCCCGATTTGGGTGGAGGTGGCACCAGCCCTTTGCCCCCAGGAGCCCCTCCACCCTCGTGTCTGGAAGGCAGCTTGTTCTCCTCTGGGCCTTCTCGGTCTTGACCTTCGTCTACCACCACCTTGTCGTGAGGAACAGGAGGCTCGTGGCGGTGGGCCTCCCCCATCGGCACTGCGATACCTAGAAGGGCATGGGGACAGTTGGGGGACCAGGCTGAGGGGGATCCCCACTTTGCCTTCCCAGAGAACCTGAACTCTGGTTCTGGACAGCGTGACGCAGGCCAGCAAGTCCAGCTGAGGGCAGGAGCCACTTTTGAGTCCCGGGAGGCACAATGGGGAGAGGATGAGGAAGGTGGAAGTGGGGCCCGACTCGGGCTCAGGGGAGGTGCAGAGCCCTGAGTCCTCTGCAGGCCGCTGGAGCCCCTCTGCCCTCTTCTCCCTGTGCCACCCACCTTGCCCAGGGCGGTCTAGCTGAGCAGCCTCCTGCTTTTCAGCGGCCTCCTCCCCAGCAGGCAGCTCTACGGGGCCTTTAATCTGAGCGCGCTCCAGCTCTTCCTTCTCCTCCGGCAGCTTTGGCTTCTCCCGGCCATCCTTGGCCACATCCGCCACAGGGTCCTGGGCTGAAGCAAGGTGCTGTGAGCTGCCTGCGCCTCCCCATGGCCACCCAGGTCACCATCTCCCAGCCAAATGGCAGGGCCCAGCCAGTCATTTTTTCCTGCTCAATCATTAGCGGCTAAGCAGTACAGAAAACTGTCATATTTCATGCATACTGACAACAAAAAAATGTGTCAAAATGCAGTTTACACTTTAGGTGCAGAAGACCACTCCATGTAATAATCGGCTGTGACCACCAGGTGGTGGCACAAGCCCACTGAAGAGGTGCATCTCCCGTGGGTGGGTTTCCTTTGCAAGGGCCCCAACCCAAACCCCCTCCTGAAAGGCTGCGGGTGAGGGCGGGTATAAGGGAAGTAACACTGGAAACGTGCACTTGTGGTCCTGGCAATTTCTCACTGCTGATGCAGGGAACACACCAAAAAGATGAGAACAAAAGGGGCACCTGCTTAAGCCAGCCACTCCCAGGAGCCTCGCAGCCCCATGGGAGCCACAAGGCGAAGATTCCCTTTAAAAAGACCACTTCCTATGTGCTGCAGGAACACAGCAGAAACTGAAGAATTCGGGAAAGCAATCATGGCATCCCAGAGGCCCAAAGCTACCTTTGTACCCTCTCCCTGGACTCAAGTTCCCCTGGAGGGGAGGTAAAAGTGTGGGTGGCCTGCGGAGGGTGCTGGGGCCCCAGGACCGCAGGGAAGCTGGGTGGGGAGGGGTCACGCACAGCCCTGTTGGAACCACAGCCTGAGCGCCTCCCAGAGAGAAGGAAGCGGGAGCCACCCAGGCTCTGTGCCGGCCTGCAGTGCCTGCGCTCTGTCTGGCACGCTGATCCAGGGAAACAGCGGGGTGCACACGTGGGCCAGACTTTCTCTAGGTGGAGCCAAGGTTCCTAGGCAAACTGGGAGCCAGCGCTACCCACCCGGTGACAGACAGAATGGACGTGCTGGTGTCCATCACTGCTCCCTCCCTGGCAGTGTCCATGTCTGAGTAAGAAATGGCCATAAATCAAGAGGGTCTTCCGGCCATGAGGAGATAGGATGGGGTAGGGAGGCGGGACAATGAAACAAAGAGGCACTCCACTCTCCATAGGACAGAGCTGCCGAGCAGTGGCCTGGGCAGGAAACAGACTCGGTGCAGCGCTGGGCAGGGGGCACCTGCATCCCCTGGGCATCAGGACTGCAGGACCATGCAGTCACCCTGAGTCCCCTCTGGAAATGCTCCTGGGAAAGCCACTGGGCTCCGGGGACAGCCCAAGAGGCTGCAAGGGCTTCTCAGCTCACACCTCCCAGCAGCTACCTGGACCAGCACCATGTGGCTGCTAGTGGGCAGCAGACGTGGTCTTTTCCTCAGGAAAGGCTGGCTGGCAGTGCCTCCTGGCTGCAGCAACACTGACACAAAACTTCAAACCAGCAGCTAAGACCCCTGCACTCTGTCTGCTTCCAATCAAAAGGCAACTGGAGTGTGCAAGCAGGAGATGGTGCTATGTGGGGTGGCCACCTGCAAGGTCACAGCCAGGAGTCCAGAGCGCAAGGAGGTGGGGTCCACTGTGGCTCTGCTCTACCCTGGTCTCCCTCATGCATCCTCCAAACTGTCACCACTGGTCATTGAACACAGGGCCTACCCCAGAGCCAGGGAAATTTCATGTTTATTCTGTGTCCTCACTGCTAAGGTGACAGCACAGTTCGCGGCTCCTTCCACACGCAGGAGTGCAGGAATGCAGCGCGCAGCCTGTCTGGTCTTACTTCCTGTGGCCAGCAGGGGGAGAGGGAGCCCCATCTCTGTGGAGGCTGCAGCTCAGAGCCCCATCTCTGCAGTCAGACACTTTTGGGTGGTGGCACATCTCACTCAAGGGGGAGACATCATCAGCTGCGGCTCTGACCACCACGCTGGAGCCAGCCTCGACTCCCAAGCACAGGCGGGGAGGTCAGGTGGCAGGGCTGCGGGGCACTGGCATGGCCCGCCGTTGCAGTGCCTTGTGCTCAGTAGAGATGGGAAGGGTCACCTCCAGCTGCCACCCCCATATGCAGCAGTGCTGGACGGTGATTCTGAAAGCCCAGACTCGGGGGGGGGGGCTTGAGACCTGCTCCCAGCCCAGGAAGCAGTAGAAACCGCTTTGATGGTTTTCTAAAACCAGCCCCTGGGTTAGGTAGCATCCAAGGCACACTTGGCTTCTGCCCTGAGGCAAGGATTACTCCTTAAGGGCTTGCTTTAAAAACCTGGTCTGCACTCAGCTATGAGGCCTCACCAGGGGGCTTGACCTGCTCCCAGCCCAGGAAGCAGTAGAAACCGCTTTGATGGTTTTCTAAAACCAGCCCCTGGGTTAGGTAGCATCCAAGGCACACTTGGCTTCTGCCCTGAGGCAAGGATTACTCCTTAAGGGCTTGCTTTAAAAACCTGGTCTGCACTCAGCTATGAGGCCTCACCACCTCACCTCTCTGGAGCGAAGGCCTCCCCATGGCTTGGTGACGGCTCTTGATACCCAGAGGGCCCACGCAGCCCCACGGCCAGCACCAGAGTTGGGCATCAGCTAGAAGATGCTACCCGCTCCTCCTCAAACACAGTGCAGCAGCCCCACATCACACAGGCTCTGCGCAGGCCAGCAGCTGCCAGAAAGCACCATCTCTTCCTGCCCCTCGCAGGTCTGGCAGGGTGAAATCAGCATAGAAACTGCAACAGGAGCAGGGGCCTAGGGAGCAAAGGAGCTTTAAAAACTTGCTCAGTAGCCAGCACTCTGGGAGGCTGAAGCAAGAGGATTGTGAGGTCAAACTTAGCCTGAGTAACCTAGTGGCTTAGCAAGATCCTGTCTCAAAATAAAACATCAAAAAGGGCTGGAAATGTAACTCAGCACAAAAGTCCTGGTTCAATCCCTAGTACTGCCAACAGGGACAGCCTTGGGATCACACTGTCCCAGACTGAGGTGGGAGGAGTGAATGGACCCAGCTCGGAGCCTGCCTCCCTCCGGAAGGGAGTGGAGGCCAACGCAGGTCCTTGGGAGGCAGCTGTGACCATAGAGCAGAGGAAGTCCACCTGCTAGAGGTGCAGGACACCAGGGGAAGCTGTGTCCCCTGGGCCTGCGTCACCTGCTCCAGTGCCCACACGTGCAGCCATGCCACTGCTCGCAGCTCCTGCTTCTGCCCCACACTGCTCAGTCCAGTCCGCTGTCCCACAGGGCTATACTCTGTCAGCTGCTCCTGCTTTGGACAAGGGAACGACTTGCAGGGGCCAGGGTGGGCCACAGTGTGTGCGCAAGGGGGAGGAAGAAAGACAAGGGGCACAGCGGCTTTCTAATGAGGCCAAACACCACCAAATCCAAATCCATCCAGAGACCCTCTGGGTGCTATCAGGCCCAGAGACAAATGGCCTAATTAGCCTTCTAAATGGGTAAGAGCTTTCCCAGGGACTTGACTGTGCTTTCCACAAGCCCACGGGGCCACACGTGGGGTCTGGCTGCACCTGCCAATCATGTGTATCCCACACAAGAACAGGACTTGGTCACGGCCACGGCAGGGCTCTCAGCACAGCTGGCAGGCTCTGTCTGTGGCCTGCACAACATCAAAGAGAACGTCAAGGCACGCCTGGGTCAGAACAGAGCGCAGCCACAGCCCGCAGCCCGCAGCCCCTCACCCGGAGGAGGCCGGGGCACTTGACGCAGCAGACAGCTCATGTTCTGAGAGGGGGGCTGTGTGTGTGTGTTTCAGCCTCACGGAAGAAATGGAAACCAGATGTGGCCTCGGAGGGCACCAGGTGAGCGGGTGGCCTGCGCAGGCTGTGGTGACGAGATGCAGCTGCTGCCATGCCCAGGGCTGCACAGCGCCATGCAGACAGAGCCCTAGGGCTGAATGACCAAGAAACTCATTGCCAGGCCTGCCTGCAGCCACTGAGACGAGAACCAAGAGGCACCCACTCTGGGCAGGTGGGCCCAAAGTGCTCAGGGTCATAAGCCGTGCTCTCTAGGAGGGACCCCTGTGCCAGGACTCAGCTCCAAGCTCCCCAGCATGCCATCCCCTTACCCAGGCTCCTTTCTTCCTCCTGTAGCAGCACCTGCTTTGCCAGCTGGCCCAGAGCAGCACCAGACTGGGCATCCCCAGGAGACCCGGGCAGTGTCTGGGCGGGAAGGGCAGCAGTATCCAGCTCCCTCCCATGGGGACGCCTCCAGCCCATGGGACTGTACAAGGCCATGGGGAGGGGGAGAGCGGCTCAGCAGTCTCCACACACGCACGATGCTGGCGAGGCCAGCAGAGTGCTGAACACGGCCAGCCAGAAGCCTGGGCTCCCCCTGCTGAGGCAGAGCCTGCAAGAGTGCTGACCTGGGCTCCTTCCAGGGACTGTTTTGTCTGTCCGTCAGAGGCTGTGTGGAGCAGGTGTCATAGCCGGCGCCTCCACAGCAACCTGCAACTCACCAGCGGGATGGCCCTGCACCCTCAAGGCCCGCCCAGAGTCATGGGCCAGATGGACGCCTGGTAAGCCTGGATCCACATCTCTCTATAGGGGCCAGCAGGCCACACGTGGCCAACCTCTCTGAGCCACAGAACCTGACCATCACCCCCACCAGCAGCCACGCCTGCCACTGTGCGGAGCCACTGGACAGGCATGGATCTGGGCCTGTGGGCCATAGCAGAGTCTGAGGGGCATCCCCAGGGTGCTTTCTGAGGTGCCCGGGAACCATGAGGGAGCGTGAGCTGTGATCCTATCAGTGGGACTGGTGAACGACCAATGAATGCATGAAATAGTAAACAAAACCGAGACAGCACAGTTGACTTTGTAAAGGAGAAAACTGGCTAGAAATTTATATCCTGAAAAGAAAAAACAAACATGAGCAACAATTTACATACCTGTCAGCGAGACCAAACCAGGCACTGTCTCAGCCAGCACGGCGCCAGCCCTGCACATGGGCAGACACCCTGGGCCACCTCTGCGTAGCGTGAGCCTCCCCAGGCAAGGCCACAGGACCCCCTCGAGGGACAGAGGCTGCTGGCAGTGAAGCAACTCACTTGGCGCAGAGCCGACAGGAAGCCTGGAAAGTACCACTTCCACCCCACGGCACCAGGTAACACAGGACTCTTGCTCGGTGTATGGGCCCGAGGCTGTGTGCCTACCTGCGAGCTGGGCCATCTCCGCTTTCACAGCGCCCTCGGCCTCCCCTCGCCGGCCACTGGGAGCCTCCATCACCAGGTCCACAGGGGCCTCCTCTCTCGCAGACAGGGTGGTGAGTGTGCTGACCACAAGCACACCCAGGCCAACCCAGAGCACCACCTGGACCAGACAGAGACCCAGGACAGTGCAGTCACAGCAGGGAAAACCTCCTTTGAGGGAGCTGAGGGATGCAGCGAGGGGCATGAAGCATCCCTCCAGGAAGCAGCACAGGCGGGCATGGAGCTTGCCTGAGGATGGTGGCCACCAGCAGACAACACACCTGTGGATGGTGAGGAGCTATAGTGATGCTCAGTGGTACCATCCCCCAACCCATCAGAGCGGTCTGCATGCCCTTGTGCCCTTCCCTTCCTCAGCAGGGACCTCAGCCAAGCGTGCCGAGCTGCATCAGCAGGGCTGGCAGGGCCAGGGCAGGGGTGGGGGCAGGACAGAGGCAGTGCAGGGTCCCAGGCCCTGACCCAGCTTCTCAGACAGGGGCCAGGTCTCTGGACCACATGGCAAGAGGGGCAAGACTCTCGGTGCATATGCCCCACCGGTGGGGGTCCCTGCACATAACATCTTCAAGATGCATGAGCCCTGATGCCACAGCACACGCCCTGTACAGAGGACACACAACACGTGGGTATGGATGATCTGTCCCCAGACACTGGCCACACCCAGTGCCAACAGCAGGCTGGACATGTCCAGAGCCGGCAAGGTGGTAGACCGTGCTGGGTCACTGGGAAGAGACAGGGCCTGACCTCTCTGGCAGGGTGCCCGTCAGTGTCCCCACAAGCTGTATTCCAGGCATTACTGGCTTGAGGGGCCTCTGCTGCCTCCAAAGGACCCTAAGGTTGATCATAAAGTCTGCAGTCCTGCAGACATCTCACCTGTCCTGCTGCAGCTCAGGCTATTTTAGGACTCTGCCTGCTGGGCCAAAGATTGCCTATGTTCTACACTGCCTCAGCACAAGGTGCTGTACCTCTGTGCCCCAGTTTTGTGATGGGGCTGGCAAAGTGGCCTTCCTGCCCAGCCTGGTCCATGCCCTGAGGTCTCGAAGCCAGAATTCCATATTCTTTCCAGAAAGGTGTGCTGACTCTTTAAACCAATCAGCTCAGAGGAACTAACTGATGAGACTTTCCCAGGTCCAGCGCAATTACACGGAAAGATTTCCATGGGACAGAGAGACCTACAATCTCTGAAGTGGGTAGTGACCAAACTGGAAAAAAACTACCTCAAGGAAAAGCTCACCTGCTTCTTGCCTGAGCTGGCTCCAGTACTCACTGACACCCCAGGCTGCCAGATAGATGTACAGGGCTCTTGAGGGACCCATGTGCCCCTCTGGCAATAGCTACAGCTGGCCTGCCCATGAGGTGACAGCAGGGCCACCAAAGGTGCATAGAGGACATTGATCTGAGTCCCCACAGGTCTGTGACATGCAGAGCTCAGGGTCAAGAGCTCCTGGCTCCTGTTCTGCCCTAAATTATTTTCTTACACATTCAGAGGCCCAGCCTCAGCTGTGTGGCTCCAAATGAGCACATTACATCCTTCTTATCACTGAGCAGTGATGGGGCCCGATGGTGGGCAGAGTGATCTTGGAGGAAACTCTTGATGTCCTGAGGCTACCAGCACCTTTCAGGGAGATGCAGGAAGGCCAACAGCTGCCGGGGGTGACCCAAGCTGATGTGGCACACAGGCTAGCATGGGGGGCAGGCCCGGGAGGTTCAGAAGACCACTGGGACCCCCGCTCTGCCCTCGCGCCTGCCCTAAGTCTCCACTGCCTCTGGGCCTTCTGTTCTCAAGGGTCGACCCTCTATCTGCAGCACTCTGCTTCATGGTACAGAGCAGAAGCGAGGCTCGGTCTCTAGGGTGGACGGTTCTTCTTGTGCACTGGTGAGGGAAGGCCTAACCGCTAACTGTGTGCAAAGGAGAGATCACAGTTCCCATGGGGGTGCCCAACAGTCACCCAGGGTGGACAGATGCCTTCCAGCTGGGAGCCTGGGAGGGGGTGGCTAGCTGGAGCACAGCCTTAAGCCAAGGGAGGGGCCCCATCTGGCCTCTGGATCCCCAGCCCAGCCCAGCAGCACTGTGCCATCCAGCACAGCCTGCAGTGTGGCAGAAGAGCTGCTTCTGAAGCAGGGGACCTGGTCGGTAAGCCACATCTATCTCAGAGGTCCCTCGCTATGACCCTGGCAATGGGCCAGCAGCGGAGGAGCACAAATCTATCTTGGATGGCTGGAGACTGGATTTTCGGGCTTGGGAAATCCAGGGCCCTGACTGGGGGCCAAAGTCCACAAGTCTTCTCAGCACACCTCCCCTCCCCTGGACAATGTCAGAGTGGGCCCTGACCCAGAGCAGAGACAGGAACTGGGCACAAAGAGAAAATGCACGCTTCTGCTGTTTGGACATGAGCCCACATTCTGCACTTCTGGACACAACACATGCCCCAGCCGTCCTGCAGCCTGCGCTCTGGTTCAGGTCCCCTGGCCAGCAGGGGTGGCGCCCAGGCCCTGCCATGCCCAGGCAGCCCCACTCTGCCCTGTGCACAAGATAGTGCTGGTCACACGTCTTTCCAAGGGACGGCACTTCCTGCTCCAAGCCCTCCGGGAAGTGCCTGTCTCTCCCCAAGCTGGCCTTTCTGGCCCCAGATCACTTTCTTTCTAACAGCATGGTCTGTTCAGGCTCCAGCAGCCCTGCAGGCTTCAGGACATCATCAAATCCACAACAGGGGCCCTGGCCAACTGCACTCAGGATTAGAGACCCACAGAAACTGCAACCCACTCCCCAACCCAACCCAACCCACCGCACCCCATACCGGGGATTGAACTCAGGACCTCACTGCTTGCGAGGCAGGCGTAGCACCACTGAGCTACATCCCCAGCACCTAAAAACTGCAACTCGTGAGGGCAGACAGGTTTCTTTTGGTTCAGTCCATTTTCTATCTTCCTAAGAAGGCCACACCCTACTCGACAAGAAGGAAGCTCATAAATGTACACAGTGGGTCAGTCAGAGTCTGATTCTTCTTAAGTTAATCTACAGCTCCCATGAACTCCAACTAGATAAAAACACAAACAAAAGCAGAACTTATTTTTCTTAGCAACCTAGCAGCTGGCTCAAACATTCATGTGGAAAATAAACCAAGTAAGAACATTCAAAAGTACATTAATAAGAGGATAAAAGAGGGGTTAGAATGAATCGTTCAAAATAAATTAATAAGAGCAAAGAGGAAGAATTTTTTAAAAGGTTCTAAGAATGACAGGTCAGAATGCAGCGAGTGCTGTGGCAACTGAAACAGTTCAGAAGGAGAAACCAACGAACTAAAATGCAAGTCCCCAAGACATCATTTCAGTGAGGGTTATTCAAATGATTCATATCAGTAACAGATTTATTCAATAAACAATGTTCTACAGCCAGGAAACCACCCAGGAAAAGACAGGATACCTACTTGATTCTTATATCAAAATAAAATATAGCAGGATTAAACATTTAAAGGAAAAAAGCACTTGGCAAAGTGATAGAAGTTTTTTTAAAAAAAAATGGGGCTGGGGATTTAGCTCAGTGGTTCTGCTGCCTGCTTTACAAGCAAAAGGTCCTGAGTTTGATCCCCAGTACCAAAAAAAAAAAAAACTGGAATGGGGAACGTCTAAGTGATTTTTTTTCCTTATAAAAAAATAAATCATGATGAGCTTGACACTTTGCAGATGGAGAAAAACATTTGCAATCTGACAGGCAATAGGCTAACTTCCTCTGACTCACTAGAAACCTCTGCCTCAGACTAAAGTGGAGCAGCAGGTGTCAAGTTGGTCTTCTCACTTAAAACAACAGTAAAAGCTGAACCAAAGCCCTGGCTCGCTCGTATCACCTGACTGAAGACAGCGGTGAACCACCTCTGCGGCTCAGATGCAGGGGCGGCAACCTAAGGGGCAGCACCACAGAGAGCCAGGCTTGCTGCCCAGGGCCCTCGCCATGGTGGTGCCAGCACCAGGGATGACACCAGGGGGCAGTCTAGATGCCAGGCATACTCATGGGGCTGGATGTCCAGAACGGCAGCAAGGGCTCCAGCAGTCACAGCCCCAGGGACAAAGGAATCCCCAGAGAAGCATAGGGCACAGCCCTGTGTGTCACTCTCCCCTGAGGCCATACCAGCTACCAGCCCTGCAGAGGTGAGCAAGGACTGAGTAAGAGCACCGGCAAGAACACACAACTTAGCAGCCTGCAGGTCCCGAGGTTCGGGAAGATCCTAGTAGCCAGGGCCAGCAGACACAGGGTTGTCTCACTGGATCCAGCCTTCTGCTTATGCTGTCTGGCGGGCAGAAAGTCACATCACCCAGAACCTCTGCAGCTTCTCAAACAAGATGACTGTAAAATACCAAACATTCCAGAAGATGGGACCAAGACAGAAAACCAACAAACCAAAAAGGAAAGATCAGAAAGTATCAACTACAGATGTTCCTTGACTTATATGGGGCTCCATGTCAACAAGCCCCACATATGTGGAAGCTAACCTAAGTTGACAATGCATTGAATGTACCCAGCCTACCAAATATTCCAGCTGAGCCACCTAGCACACCACAGCACTAGTGGTTTCTGATCTTGGTTGCAGGGTGACAGAGCTATAGCTCACTTCCACTGCCCAAGAATATCCATAACAGCATCACACCACACAAGGCCAGCTTGGGAAAACATCAAAGCTCAAAGTATAGTTTCTACTGAATTTGCTTTCATAACACCATAAGGTCAGTGACTGTGAAGTTGAGCTACTGTTAAGTCAGGAACCGTGTGTGCTTGAAACAACGATAATAATGTTGTGTGGGGCTATACAGAGTGAAAATTACACAAGAACGATCACACTTGGCTGGGGGCAGGTAAATAAAAACTCTGGGATACTCACATTGTCTAGAAAGTGGTTAAAAAGGGCCTACAGTTGATTCTAGTGAGTCAAGACTTTCTATTAATCACCTAGTATAACCATTAGAAGAACAGAAATGCACCAGTAAGAATACGTTAAATGTTTGGGCCAGGGATTTAGTTCTGTGGTTCCACAGCTGCCTCACAAGGTCCCAGGTTCCATCCCTGGTACCAAAAAAAGGAGAATACTTTAAATGTCTGATTGATCTAAAAGGGGAAAAAACTGAGGCAAAAAACAAAGAATAAGATGAAAGTTTCCTCCCCTAAATCCATAATCATATTAACAGGCTGGATAAGAACAAAACAAAAAGCCTTACTATGCTCTTACAGAATAACGTCAACACAAAGCCGTAAAGACACCAAAAGAAAAAAGATGGAAAAGCTCTGCTGCCAGCAGCGCTAAGGGAACCACAAGGCCAACTAGGGCTGCATCTCCATAGACACACGGGGTGCTCGCAAGACAGGTGTCCAGTCAACAGGGGATATGGCCAACTGCAGCCCGTGTATCCAAACAACACAGCTCCAAAGTTAGATGCAGAGGCTGACAGGACGACAAAGGAAAATGAATCTATAATTAGGGGAGGAGTTATCCTCTCTTTCTCATAAATGAGATTAAAAACCAGCAGGAATATGTGAAATCTAACGCTGTGAGCGATCCTGACCGAATCAACACACACAGGTAACACCTCATGAAGCTCTGCACAGCTCACAGCCCACTGAGCTCCCAGCAGGGCCTGCGCAGCCACATGGCACATCCCCCACTGTCAGAGAACTGAGACTCCCCAGAGTGCATGCTCCAATTACACCGACAGTAGCGTGAAAGCAGTGAAAAGATTACTGGGACTTCCAAATGTTTGGTCACCTAAAGAAGCTATGGGTAAAAGAAGAAATCACAATAGAAATAGAAAACATAGTCAATTAAAGGATGATGTAATTCTTCAATGTACTCTTATTTTTGTGGTGGCACTAGGGATTAAACCAGGGCTTTTACACTCAGCTACAACCCTGACCCCTTTCCTATTTTTTTTTTTTAATTTTGCAACAGGGTCTTACTAAGTCACTAAATTGTCCAGGCTGGGCTTGAACTTGAGATCTTCCTACCTCAGCCTCCCAAAGTGCTGGGATTACAAGTACTCACCACAGTCCTGGCTTCAATCTACAGTTTGATGCAACCTCAATGAAAATTTCAACAGGTTATCTGGCAGAAGCTGACAGGCCATTCTAGGAAAGAGCATCTTCAAAAGAAACACACTGGGAGGACTTCTCCCAGTCCTCCCAATCCTAAATACTACAAAGCATCAGCCCCTCAAATCAGCAGTACTGGGACAGGAGACAGCAGTGCATCCATGGACAGAGAGGTCCCCAACAGCCTCACACACATGGGGGCCCAACAGGGATGTGCATGGGAAGGATGGAGTGGGTTGGCCAGAGCCATACAACCCACTGCACAGCAGTCTATTCCAGGTGAAATGCAGACTGAAACGTGAAAGATGAAATTGAAAGCCTCCACAATAACTGTCATAAGGCATAACTGTCTTTGGGATCTTGTAGTAGGCAAAAACTTCTTAAACAGGACATGAAAACCACCAAGGAAAAGAAAAAGATCTATAAACTAGCCGTCACTATCACAGAACTTGTTTGTCAAAAGATGACCTTAAGAAAGCAAAAAGGCAGCCAAGAGTAAAATATCTACAATATACATTCCTGAAAAAAGGCATCTAGAATCTATTAAAAATGCCTACAAATCAGTAAGAAGAGACAGATAAGCCAACTGAAAAGTCATAAAGGCATTAACAAAAGACGACAGCCACATGCTAGTGAGCACACACAAAGGTACACGGTGTCACCAGTTATCCGGAGACTACAAATTGGAGGCCCAAAAAGACACTGCTACACCCCGCACACCCTCCGGAAGGGCTGCCACCTTAGAAAGGGATAAAAAAGGCAGGTGTGGTGGTACACATCTATGATCCCAGCACTGTAGGAGACCGAGGCAGGAGGATGGCAAGTTTGAGTCCAGCAAGGACAATTTAACAAGACCCTATCTCAAAATAAAAAACAATAAAGGACTGGAGACACAGCTCAGTGCGAAAGTCCTAGATTCAATCTCTAGTACTGGAAAAACAAACAAACAAACAAAAAGCTTAAAAGGGACATCCAAAAGGAAGGACAGCGGACTCTCCATGTAGTAGAGGCACCAGGGTGGAAATCCAAAACCCATTCAGCAGAAGCTGCAGAGCTGAGCACCCTCTGCAGACCAAGCAACCTCCTCCCATATGCAGAGCAGCACGCAGCACTTGGAGCAGTGTCCAACCTGGAGCTGTCCATCCTGCTGGCCAGTGGGTAAAGCGTGGGAAAGCACAGAAGGGAAACTTCCCTGCGTGAGAATACACAAACTGCCCCCTGCATGCTTGTGGGTGAGCCTGGGAGGCTGAGCGGGGCCTACACATGAGGACACATGTGAAACCCCACATGTGCCCAGCTGACCAGGGGCAGCAGCGGGAGCGGACAGCCAGCAGCACCTCTGGGTCATGGGGTGGGTGACTGTGTCCCAGGGAAGCTTCTTGCTGGATTATCTATCTGCCCTGATGCTCGTTCCTCAGCTGGGTTCACTTCGCATAACTGTTTCAAGCTGCAGACACAGTTTACGCTACTTATAAACACCCACCGATCCACATCAGTGACAAAAAGCTCCACCGCCCTATCACAAGTGAGTAACAGCAAGAACAGTTCACAGGAAGAGGAACGCAAGTGGCTCCCAGACCCATGAGAGGATGCTCAACTCCACTGCAGAGAAGCCCAGAAAGATATGACAGGAAGAACAGGCATGAGGACAGAGCCTCCTCGGGTCGCCCAAGGGAAGGATATTACCAGACTCCCATGGGCCTGGGATCTCTAGTCTGCAGCCCCAGGGCCACATTGTCGCACACTGGAAATGCCCTGTGCGGACTGGCATAGGTCATTGGATTGCTGTCCGTAACAGCAAATGGCTGGGCACGGGCTCCATCGGAGGCTGGAATTATGGAATTTTCCTACAGTGTAGCATGAGGAAACAGTTTAAAAACAGCAAAGCAGCTGGACAAGCATGCACACCACTGATGGGCAACTGAACAGGATTTTATGCAAAAGCAGCAGGAAGCTGGATCACTATTAAAAAATAACAAAAAAGCATGAATGTGAGCATGAACACACACATGCTCATGCAAATAGTGTCCCTGTGGACACCCCAAGGGCCTGTAGCGGTGCTCACAGGGCAGAGTGGGACCCCGGGAGGGGACACCCATCACGTATGGAACCCCTTGGGAGAGAAGCCAGGCCCACTGCACTAGCAAACACCGTCCTCTGGAGCCCAGCCCAGCCTGCCAGGTGCAGGCCTGGCTCACTCACCTGAGCAGAGAAGGCGTTCTTTTGGGCCTTCTTGTAGATTAGAGCTGGGCAGATGAAGCAGATGAAGCTCCCCACTGTCGCCCCCGTGAAGCCCAGGATGGTCTCCACTAGGAACAGACATGACACCGGGGGTGAGCGGGAGAGGGCTCTGCGGAAGGGGCCTGGCTTTCACCCCACGCAGGTGAGGCGCTTTGTGGCAGAAGCACCAGGCCCTTCAGACTGATCGGGAAAAGGAGGAGGGTGGCTTCTAACTGTTCAATTTTAAAGGGAATTCCCTGGGTCATGCTGCCTGGTCCTCGGACCCACGTAAAAGTCAAGAGTACCGGCTGCGGGCAGCCACCACCAGGAATCTGCACAGGAGGCTCTGTGGAAGACCCTAAGTTCCCACACTCGCTTGCCAGCTGGGAGAGGGTGCAGCTGTATCAGATAACCACTTCAGTGACCTCCTGGGTACCATGTGGACAACTCCAGGGGTCAACAGAGTGAGAGCCAAGAATAAGGAGCTCCATAGCCCGACAAGCCGGTCCTGTGTCCTGGCCCTGGAGTCTCTGCCCAGGGGTGAACTGCTTGGTCTCAACACAGGCCTGCTGCTCCATCAGACCGCTGATGCTGCCCCCGCCTTCTCTTTGAGTCAGAGAGAAATATGAGCTGGGGGCTTCTAGACTGTTCTTGAGACACCGAGGAGGACAGCATGAGACTCAGAGAGTCTTGGCTCCACACCTAGATGCAGGGGAGGGACACCCCAGGGCCTGAGTGTAACTGCAGAAATGGACACAACGGGACAGAAAAGCAGCAGGGCCAGTTGCCGAGTGGCCACCCACCTTACCATTGGGGATCATGATGCCACCGACCATGGTTCCGAACACAACCGAGAGGGTCAGTGCTTTAAACCGGAGAGGGGGCATGTAGCCTCCAGCAGCGAAGGTTCCATCTTTTTGCTACATGAAAGAAAACACAAAAGTTTTGAAACAACTGACTTCCTCCGCCACACCGTGGAGTGACGCCGCTGAGCATGGCAGACAGCCTCTGTGCGGGCTGGGCCCACTGCCTAGCAGGAGGGCAAGCGTCACCCACACCGTCAGGTTTGGCCGAGCGACCTTAACGGAACCTGTACAATGCCAGGAAGATGCGCTATCTCACCCCAGGTACTGACCACAGATCTCACAGCTTTGTTTTACAATGTGAGGGGGGAGTCCTTGTGTTTTCATTTTCATTTTCAGAGCAAAGATACGAGACAGATTCTTCCAAAGAGTCATGAAGTGCAGGCAAAATCCACGGGGGACTCTGCCAGAGTCCATAGGTTTCAGGCCTTGGGCAGAAGCCCCTCGACTACCTGTACACATGCACACGTAGCTGTGTTGTTGTCATTCCCAATACATGATGAGAAGTTAAGGAAGGAAGAAAAGGGAGGAAAGGTGTGAGGTGACATAGCCATGTACCTCTGCACACGTTCCCCACACAGGGGCCAGGCAGGCTACACTCAGTGGAGCGGCACAGGCAGAGGCACTGGCCTCAGAGGCCACCTGCCCTAGAGCTTGGACAGCTGGCTCAGATCCTGGCTCTCTATTCACTAGCTCAGTGCCTCAGTTTCCCCTCTCCCAACAGAAGCAGGTCCTTGTCAAGCTATGCTGAGGACCACAGGAGTTAACACATGTGCAGGATGACCATGACAATGTTAGGAACAACCACAGAACCTTCCAGACCTAGAATTCTAAGCCCCCAATTTTCAGAATAAACTTTACACCAGATGGACTGAGGGAGCTGGAGCCAGAATCTCTACTGACTTTGAGTCATAGTTTGTGGCTTTAGGTCTACAGCCCAGGAAACCCAGCACCAGTTTGCCAAGCGATGCTCCAGAAGGAAGGGAAGCAGGGAACTATGGGCACTGAGACAGTCAGGAGATGGCTCTTCAGGGAGGTCACAGGGAAAGGCAGCAAGCAGCGCCACACTCGCGAAGGGAAAGAGCGGGGACTAGGGGTACCCTGGACACAGAGGCACAACCCCTGAAGACGGGAAGGGAAGTGAAAAGAATGCCACCGCGTCCCTGTACACGCCACGTCAGAGGAGGGTGCAGGCAGACGTTCTGGCTTCGAAAGTCCTCTCGTGCCATTTTTGTTTTTTAACTTTACAAAGATGTGTTACATACAACAGCACCAATTCTGCTCCAATACAAAGAGCACATCTGCCCTGTGAGGTGTCCAGTGGAGACGGACTCCAGCAACCATGGCTAAAGGTGGAACAAGGAGAGCCACAGAGGACCCCACAGCCAGGCAAACTGGCCTTGCCTCCTCCCCTGAGGGATGAAGTCCTACATCTTGCTTCCTTTGGCACCAGGCACCTGAGCACTAGCAGAGGCAGACTGGAATGCCAGCACATGAGGGGCTGGTCCTGGGGCTGGCCTTGCTGTCACCAGTGACAGAGCACACAAGAAGGAGACAAGAGCTGCAGCACTGCCACATGCCATGTGGACAGGGAACCCTGTGCTGGCTGCTCCCAAGGCCTGCGGCAGCCGCCCTTCTCAGTCTGCTGCTGGACTCTCTCCAGGATTCTACGAGACCACCAACTCCCCACAACACAAGCAGGTGAAATGACCTGTGTCCCTGGCTACCGAGAGTCCCTGCTAAAGAGAAAGACTGGGCTGAAAGTCTTCAGGCCTTGAGCAGAAGATGCCACCAAGAAAAGCCACGAGTTGGCAAGAGGGTGACTGCACCCTGAACGGCAGGCAGGGTTCCCACGATGCCCTGGTGAGGACTCAGGCTCGGTCTCCACCACCTGGGCATTGGTATCACAAATGCACCTTTGGTGGTTAACTTAGCAACAGGCAAGCGACTCGGGCAGCCTTTTGATTTCAACTCCTGTATTTAAAAAGTTCTTGTAAAGAAGCTAACTACATATACTATGGTTCAAAACTCTTTGGCTAAATGATTAATATTTTCAAAGTTAGGGCCAGGAATTTAGCTCAGTGGTTCCACTGCCGGCCTCGCAAGCACAAGGTCCCAAGTTTGCTCCCCAGTACAAAAAAAAAATATGTGTGTGTGTGTGTGTGTGTGTGTGTGTGTGTGTGTGTGTGTGTTCAAAGTTTAAAAAAAAGTTCAGAAAGGTCAGGCCACCCCACATCTCCTGTCTTTACCAGCAATGGCCAATGACTCCAGTGCCCATGTGCCCCATATCACCACCGAGGCCTGCCCAGGGCTGCTGTGAATAAAATTCCATTTCCTGCTATTTCTCTGGGTGGGGGACAATAGCATCAGCACTATGAAGTCACAGAGACAAGCCTGAGCTGCTTGCAAACCAACCTAGTGTGTTCAAAGTTTAAAAAAAAGTTCAGAAAGGTCAGGCCACCCCACATCTCCTGTCTTTACCAGCAATGGCCAATGACTCCAGTGCCCATGTGCCCCATCCCACCACCGAGGCCTGCCCAGGGCTGCTGTGAATAAAATTCCATTTCCTGCTATTTCTCTGGGTGGGGGACAATAGCATCAGCACTATGAAGTCACAGAGACAAGCCTGAGCTGCTTGCAAACCAACCTGACCCCAAAGGCCTATCTTTGGTGCTCTTTTTTCCAAAGGTAGTTTACAATTTTCCTATTGGGGGCTGGGGCTGTAGCTCAGTGATAGAATGTGTGCTTAGCAGGTACAGGATCCTGGGTCCCATCCCAAGCACAAAGAATTTTTAAAAAAATAAATAAAGCAAAACCCTAAGAGGAGATTTTATTTCCATGGGATCTTGCTTATCTTTCATCAGGAAAAGCTGCCCCTACGGCTGCCCAGGAAAACTGAGAACCCCACCCCAGCCCAGGGTGCCTGGAGAGCCCTACCTGCTGCTCGAAAAGCAGTGTGTTCAGGGCCTGCCTACAGGGCAGGATCATCATGGGGAAGCCCACGGCCACCGACATCATGAAGCCCACGCGGATCATCTCCGTCACCAGGTTGGAGGGGAAATGCATCAACACATTGCCCGCTGTGGCCTCGGCGAAGCTGACATAACCACAAAACCCCACCTGCAGGAGGAGGAAAAACAGCAATGTGGTGAGCATAGCACCTGGTGGGGAATGGGGGGTGGCCCCTTCCTGAGGAAGCTAGAGCAAGAGATGGCCTCAGAGGGCAAAAATGCCACTCCACTGCTCATTCACATAACTCTCTCTTGATAAACACAAGGCAAAGGTAATGACGAGGGAGGGGTCAACATTAACTTTTTGAAAGGATCACAGATGAGAAATACGCGAAAAGGAAGGTGCCAGAATGACACCCCCCAAGCCCTTCAGAGGAGCTATTCGTCTGGCTTCAAAACTCAACCAAGGAACCAGGGGGTAAGGTATGGTCCTGGTGGAAGAAGACAGATGTGGGCAACGCTCTCCAAGGCCACACACAATTACCTACAGGAGTGCTGAGGTCACAGAGGTAAGGAAACAAGCTGTGACCTCAGTGTTTTCATAATCTTACTTACAGACAACAGGAGCATTAAGAAGACTGGGAGGGAAAAACAAATTGACCTTAATAGTGCCCTGAACCCCTCAGACAGAAGACACCCACACAGCCTGGGGGAAGGTGACTCACAGGGCCAGGCCCTGGAGGATGCGGATAGAGGAGAGCCTCCCTGTCAGTGTGCATGCAGTGTGACCCAGACAGACATGGCAGAGAGAAGGAGGTGGTGCCTATGTGGGCAGAACCTGGGTGAGGAGATGGCATGGAAGGTGTCCTACCGTGACGTAGAAGGTGGTAACCACATTAAGGGAGGAAGCAAATATGGAACTCATGGTCTTCACAGACGGCTCGTCTAGACTGTCGTAGGTAGGCAGGACCTGGCTGTGTAAAGACAAGCAATTCACAAAGCAGACTCCAGGGAGCCTCACCAGCCTGCTGCATGGCAGGCAGTTCCTGAGACCTATTCTGCTACCCAGCCAAGCCCACACACTTCTTTCACGTGACATCTACCACACACCGTGGCTCACGGAGCCAAAGCTGGCAGATTTCATGACGCTACAGATGGCAGCCCTGTGAGGGCTCACAGCAGCCCCCAGAACACACCCTACCCAGACATCTTACAAGTGCCGCAGAACTGGAGGCCCACTGGCTGGGAATCACATGCAGTCAGGGAGAAGTTAAACCAACAGCCTGGCCAGCCGCAGCCCAGCCTGGCGCCACACCTCAGAGTCAGCCCCAGCTTGCGCCCTCGCCTGTGGATGAGAGGACTGGCTCCTCTCCCAGGCCCAGTGCCAGGAGTGTGGTGCCGCTAGGCAGGTGGGAGGGGCCCAAGTCACCAGCTGAGCAGGGAACAGCCCTGCCAGGCTCTCACCAGACAGCTCGTCTTAGGACAAGGGTGACAGCTGAGAAAAGCAGGACCTGGGCACCTGTGAGGGGTGGGGATATCAGGAGGAGGGAGCCGCTCTGCAGTTCAGGCAAGATCATGGCTGCAGAGCACAGTGAGAGGGGAGGGAGTCTGGTGGCTGCCCTTCCAGGCCAGGTTCAAAGGCACAAAGGAAACGAGGCCAGTGCGGGAGACAAGGAGGGGTCAGGATGCAGGAAATCGGCAGCCAACAGATGAGCAAGCACAATGGTCAGTAAAGCCAAATCCCAAAACTGCCTTCAAAAAGTGAAAGAAAGGGCCAGGGATTTAGCTCAGTGGTTCTGCTGCCTGCCTTGCAAGTGCAAGGATCCGAGTTTGATCCCTGGTACCAAAAACAAACAAACAAAAAACAAAAACAAAAAATAATTTGAAAGCAAAACAGGATGCCCCAACTCAATCAAAAAGTGGGCAAGGGGCCAGGGATTTAGCTCAGTGGTTCTGCTGCCTCCCTCGCAAGCTCAAGGACCCAAGTTCGGTCCCCGTTACCAAAAAAAAAAAAAAAAAAAAGGGG